GGAAGATCGGCGATCTCGACGGCTGTAGGTTGAGTTGTCCCAAGAAGCATTGTCGTGCCAAGATCGGCGAGCATGATCTCGAGAACCAGACGCGGTGGTCTCGTGGTGGCCAGTTGTGTCTCGAGAGTCGTCTGGAGGTGGGTCCGTAGGTGCTGGTGCGTCGGCAGGAGGGTCAGGTCATACTGGACGTGCAGGATCATCTGGAGGTTCCGAGGGTAGATTTGTCTCCGCTGCCTGGTGTGTGATCAAGCCCGGGAAAACCGAATGAGTGGAGGCAACATAGCATATGGATGCGGCGCTGGAGTTCATAGCCGTTGCATTGTCTTTGCCCTTGGCGATGCCCGCAAGTTTGCACAAGCGTTGAATTTGGTCATTTCCTCCAGCTAGGGCGCGGATGCATTTGGGTGAGCGACAAATGGCCAATAGGCCAGATGGGTTTTGTCCTTTCCCTCTGCGATAGAGCTGAGAGGTGCAAATCTTGACAGCATAGCCCGGCAGGGTGTCGATGTCAGCGATCTCAGAGGACATACCGAAGAACCCGTAACATGGGTATTGAGTCGGGACGCCGGCTTCGTTTTTTGTCCAAGTTGCCGGGCGGATGCAGTCTTCCGCGAGAATTTTGGCAACTGATTCCCAACTCGTTTTGTGGTAGATCAGGTAGGTGCCCATGTGCTCGCCACGATAGATCGGTTTCTTCCTCAATCCCGTGGGGACCGTGATGGTCAGCAGGTTCTCTGGCTCGATGTAGAATGCTTGGGTTTGCCTCGCAAGCTCGATGTCCAGTAAGTTGGATTGTGCAAAGGCCCTGGCAATGTTCTTGACGGTGGCTTGGCTTGCTTTGATATAAATACGTTGGTTGTTGACGGTGCGATATGGTTGAGCCAACTGGTGGAACATCTCGTCAACGAATTGGTTGAAGAGCTGCGAGATGGCCGGGGTCAATGATTGGCGTAGGGGCACGACATGGTCGGGGCCAAGCTCAGTCAAGCAGCGGACCCTAAGGGGATCATTGGCCGCCTCAACCATTTCACTGAAGTCGATGTCATTCGTGTCGAACTTTGAGATCGAAATTGTATCTGCCACCTCAGAATTTTCACTGTCACCGTCGGGGACGCGGAAGGACACAGCGCCAAGTGGTGCGGAAGTGTGGGATGGTGGGTTGGTAGGTGGTTCCGGTGGTGGTGGATCGGCAGGAGAGTTGGGTCGAGCAGTGTTGTGGTGGTAGTTGTCGGTGTAATGGCTGTCGTTCCATGTGCCCCAGGTGTCATCAGCGTCGGGAGTGGGAATGTAGGCTGCATTGGATGGGTGTGCAGCTGGTCGAAGTACGACTTCACGGCCTCTGGATCGATGACGTGGTGTCGCGGAACGTGGTCTTGGGTGAGATCGATGTCGTCGAGGAACCACGGGAGAGCGGCGTCTTGGCGGTGATCTTCATCTGTATGGTGACGGGGTTCTGCGGTCCTTGGGATGTTTCGTAGATGACCGATAACGAGGAAGAGGAGAACGAGGTCGAGCTGCACGTTGGGGAGAACAGCGATGATGATGGGATTGTACAGAAGGTCGACGGGAACGTGATCTTGGAGTCAAGATTCGTGGTCGGCGCGTTGGTGATGGTGGAGCATGTAGGTGGTGAGGAGGAGCGATGGCTGGAGCTGGGATAATGCGAGGGTCTGGAACGTCAGGTTCGGTGGGTCTGGCTTTCGGTGCAGGTGGAGGCATGGCAATAGGTGGTAGAGCTGTTGTAGGCAATGGTGTCGGTGGAATAGGGTTCGGTGGAGGTCCATCGTGTTGGAGGAGTAGCTGACGTTGTTCTTGGGCTCGTTGGGAATCCATGATCAATTGTTGTTGAGCTTGAATAAATCGGACCGATTCCGCAAGTTGTTGTGCAGTGGATCCCAGCGCTGCAAGTTCAGGTGAAACGGATGAAGTCGGTGCCGCCGTTGGTGCCGGTGGTGTAGCAGGAGGAGAGGCTTTCGGAGCTAATCGGCGTGGTCTGTCCGTTTTCTTGTCAGAGCGAAGCCTGGGAGCTGCCTTAACTGCTGGTGGTGGAGATTCATCTGGAGGGACCATCGCTGCGTCCGTTGGTTGTGGAGGTTGAATGTGGTGAGGTGGGTATGGAGAACTCTGCAAAGGTGTCGGTGGCGTAGTTGATGTAGGTGGTGTAGTCGACGTAGGTGATGGAGCCGGAGGAGAATGCCACGTGGGTGGAGCGGTGGGTGCCGTGGGAGTCGGAAAAGTCGGTGGAGCGGTGTGCACCAGAGTGGTTTCAGGAGCCATAGGTGTGGGCATAGTTGGCACAAGTTGTGGGCCTGGTACTGCATGAGGAGCCGAAGTCAATGAGGTAAATGGCAGTGAAGTTGGGGCTGATGAAGACCATGTAGGGTGCAATGGCGAGGGATGTCCGAATAGATGTGCGTTCTGCGATGATTGCGGTCACGTCGAGGATGAGGTCGTAGGCTGCGGTGGAGCAGGCCATGACGTCGGAGGAGTGGTCCACGGGTACATCGCTCACGAAAATAATGAAAATTAATGAAAAGTCACACACAGGACTCAGTTCCTAGACCTACTGTTCGTGCAATTGTGCCACAACAGGCCCGTGTTCCAGTCAGCCACAAGGGCATAAAACGGCTTTCAAGTTCCATCGAATTAGATGCACAATATGTTTCACCTCACCAGACAACCATCAAAAGAAAGAGACACCACACCTGAAAGTCGTGAGCCTGCCTGGTACTTGTATCATGACGTGATGCAATGTAGCTGCAAAAGTTGCTGCAAAAACGGAGGTTTCTGGCAATTCAGAACGGCTTCACAGTTGAAGAAACGCATCGGCGAGTAATCCCTGGGACATCCGGAGCAGCAGGAGAACTCAAAGTGGCTGATAAACCGCAAGGCTGATTGTTGCCCTTTACTTAGACGAATTACTAAGTTAAAATGTGTGAGTTCAGATTTCAAGACTGTCGACACTCACCCTGAAAAGGGTTGCCTCAAAAGGCTCCATGGCACCATGTCGGAGCCACCATGGAAATCACACTAGACAAGAATGGATCATTATATGATCCGGCAGGAACTGAATCCTGAAACATGCAGATTAGATATGAAACAACGAAAATAACGATGCACCCCACGAATAATAGAAGTTCTCCTGAATGATTTCCATGGCCAAGATCGTCATCAAAATAAATAAATGAATCGGCGACGTGGATGTGACAAAATACCCCAAATACATCGGCGACATGGTTTCGGCGAAATAATTCAAAAAATCAAAATACTGTCGGCGACATGGTTTCGGCGAGAAACTGAGGAAGGTTCTGATGCAGGCAAAACAGATTGTGGCAACCGTGAAGAAATAAATAAATAAATTGACATTGAGGTTCTTGGGTTGAGCCTCTTCCCATCAGCAGACATTGACAATTGAACGGAAGCAAACCCTGAACAACAGGTAATCACAACAATGCAGGTACACCAGGGTGATCAGCCCCGGCTTCCACCATCATGCATAGCTTCGTTGGCATGCGTTTGCATGATGGCCGCATGCCCCCTGCAAATGTGAAAAGATCCCCTGCAATTGTGAAAAGATTAGAGTCATAGAAGTTTTACATCTGTTCAGATGTTACACACACACACCCTGCCTTGGGCAGGGTGGTGCCGTGGAAGATGAGGTGAAGATGAGGATGAAGGGGGAGTGAAAGTGAAATGACCTTGAAGATGAGATGAAGAATTACTTAACCAGAACGCGAAGAGGGGAACGCAAAAGAGGAAGGAGAGAACACCAACACCACACACCTGGCCCGGAGCGGGCAAACCCTGAAAGGGCAAGGGAAAAGAAAAGTGGAGGGTCGACGGACACGGAACAAGACCAGCGGAGGGGGGGAAGGACGAAAGCGCCTGAACCAACCTGACACAGCGAAAACCTACAAACACCTCAGCACGCTACGGAGCCAACCTACCTGGGGAGTGAAGAACGCATGAGATAGGGGACCAATGGGGATTAGTTGATGAAACCACAAAAAAAAAAACAGGATTCAGTTCCTAAAACCTAGAAGTCGTGCGTTGTGCCACTCCAGGCCCGTGGTCAGTTCTTGCCCCAATCGGCATATAACGGCCTTCAAGTTCCAGCGAATTAGGTGCACAACATGTTTCACCTCACCAAAAACCAAAGAGACCACACCTGCAGGAAAAGGACATGCCTGTTGCCTTCATTTGTGCATGTCATGAATCCTGTCAGCTGCAGTAAAAACATAGTTTCTGAATGTTCCGAACGGCTTCGCTCTGGTAGACAGGCATTGTGGCGAGGAATCCCTGGGACCACAGGAGCCGCAGGACTTCGTCAAAGGTGCAGAACGGTAAGGCCAGCTGTTGCACTTTACTTGAACGAATTACTAAATTAAAATGTGTGAATTCGGAATTCAAGTCGTCGACATTGACCCCAACTGGGGTTGCCTCAATTGGCCCTATGGCACCATGTCGGAGTCACCATAGGAATCACACTAGACAAGAATGGATCATTATATGATCCGTCAGGAACTGAGTCCTGTAACATGCAATTAGATTAGTTTCCTAATTAAGGATGAGTATATATATATATAGGACTACGGTGGCCACCAGCTGCGACTTAAATGCGGCCAGGTGCACCACCGAAGTCCTGCGGGTACGTTTTCACGGGTCCCGGGGAGGTGTCTTCGTTGGTCACCGACCCCCCCCGGGACCCCGGTGACCCCCCGCTTATAGATATATATTAATAGAAGTTTTACATCTGTACAGATGTGTCACACACACACACAACGAAAAAAAATACAGCGGCTGCTGTTTTTTTGTCCTACCAGAACTTACGTTAAACGGGCATGTTTCGAAAAAACACAGGGGAATGGCCAAAACAAGAACAGCAGCAAGATTCCAGCCATCGGATCCGCAAGCAAGGGACCTTTCCTTCTTGGTTTCAGCCACCTCACAGATCAGTCCCCAAACGATGGAAAAAAACAATTCAAACCTTGCCAAGGAGCTGAAAGAATATTGCAGGAGCCCCGGCACACACAGGATCTCAGAGAAACTGGCTGCCCTATCTGAGATCTCTTGGTCCACGGAGGAGAATTTGCTATTTGCAGATTCCTCATACTGCCAAGTCAGAGAAAAGGGTGGCGGGGCGCCACGCAAAAATACGGCATTCACCAGAGCCCACAAAATCATGAAACCTGGCAGGAAAATCACCAAGTTGGACACCATGCGTGGTTTGGCACAAACAATGCAAGTATATTTAAAAAATTGCATATATATTGTTTATATTATGTATTATGTGTGTATAAATATAAATATATATATATGTATGTATTTTGTTATATATATATATTTATATATTGTAAATGTATATATGTATTGTATGTATATATATATATACATATCTATTGTAAAATTATATATATAGTTTATTTTTTAATATATATATATGTCCTTTTTGCAGATAGATATATATATATAGTGTATATATATATATTAATATATATATATACATGATGTGCAAAAATACAGAAAATATAAATATACATAATTATATATATCTCTCTCTCCGGACGGGTTCTTTAAAAAAAAACAAAAACAAACTACTCGAACCCTTGCGAGGACAATTCGACACCCCTTGTCCCCTGATTTCAATGTTGTGTGAAAGCAGTTCTTGACGGAACCGCCATTGAGAAGCGGTGGTTAGCAACATTGATACAGGGGGTCCGGGGGTTTCCTGTGCATGTTGGCACTTTTTGGTCGATGGTTGTTTTTGGCATGCGGCTGATACGCCGCCCTAGGAAAAGTTATTAATTTTGAGATGTGCTGTTTAGGATCCCTTGGAAGGGTTGCGATTTTTTAACATAAAGGTTTCCGAAATGGGGGTACAGGATTTGATTTTCGGCGTTGTTAACATGCTGCACATGCTGTCATGGTCATCAGGGAGGTGTGGGGGGGTGGTGGGGGGTATAAACGTTCCTGACGAATAGTGCATTTACGTTACGGAACATGTTGCTGTTATTAACATGTTGCACATGCTGTCGTATGTTCATCAGGGGGGATGGGGGGGTGGGGAGGTGTGTTAACATCCCTGACGAGTAGTGCACTTACGTTACGGAACATGTTGCCGTTGTTAAAATGGAGGCCAATGTCCATGCTCCACAAGAAAAACCAGAAAGCGTACAAAAAAAGGACACTTGGGCATACAGCTGGACATGGCGTTATAATGTCGCCTTGTTGCAGTCTGTGGCCGTTGCATTGCCAAAAGCACTCTGGCACTGAAACTTCGAGAAGAGAAAAAACTAGATGGGTGGATGGTTCCCTGAGATGATTGGGATGATTGAAAATCATGAATTTCTAACGTTGTTTTCAAGCCCTTGAAGAGCAAAATCGATACACTGCGCAGCCGAAACGCAAATTTTTACACATGAGTCATACGCCTGCCAATCGAAAGGAATGTCCATATTGCAAACATTTTTTGACAAGTCCCACAAATACCCGCATTTTGTCCCTTAGCCTCAAAATTCAGAATTTCAAATTCGCTACAAGGGCGGCGAGTCAATCGGTTGCCTTGTTTTTTTGAAGAGCCCGGTAGGTCCATGTATAATGCATGTAACGGGAGGTAATGGTAAATGTAAACGGTAAATGTAAACGTAAACACACATGAAAACGTAATGTTATGTTATATTTGTTATGTATATCTGTACTCCCCCTGCTTCGATAAACACAGTTAAATTTAGTCTTTCCGTCAGATATCGTTTCCCCATTTTTCGGGTCTACCCGAACATGTCCGCGTCTAGGGATCGTAGAAGATTTCAGAGTCTTCAGCGGTTTGGGCCTTCCCGAAAATAGCGGCCCTCACGGGTAGAGTGATTGTCTTGCGAATGTCACCGGCATTTCACGCAGTTTTATTGGTAAAAGAGATCTTAGTTCAATGTGATGACTCACAAACTCAATGATGCTCTGCTTTGCAAAGAATCAGAAAAATAACTATCCACGATCCTTTTAAGTTCGGATCTGAACTCTTTTGTCACCTGGAATCTTTCCGGAGAACGAAATTGAACTTCAGCCTTGAAGCCTATGGCAACGCAGTGGACTGTAACTTTATGTATATAATGACATGACACGCGAATGCAACGTAATTTAATGTAACTTACGTAAGTAGTACGTACGTACGTACGCGTAATTTCGTGTAACTTACGCACGTACGCCTGTATGGATGTTTAGGTTCTTTCTAAGCTCCGATGCGCGCGGGCTTGGAGTTGACAGGAGAAATCAAGCGAGCTGATGCATTGAATGACATCTTGTAATGACCGGGCTACCCGGCCTGTAGGCAGATGGATGATGTGGAACAATCCTCTTGACATACATGACACACATGGTCAACCCCGAAGGGGGAGATTTGTACGTAATACAGAAGTCGCAAAAGGGCAGAATAATTAATAGATATCAAAGGGTTCCAAGAGCAAGCCCGGTAGGCATGTACCTGTTGCATGATAATCAAGACTATTCGAAACTGTCAGGGTTCATGCAACCGCATATTACATATTATCAGGAAAAGGTAGTGTGGAAGCACAGGATCTGATTGGTTCCCATTTCCACCCCTTGGGTCCATTCCCGCACCTGCTAAAACCCATAAAATCACGTACCATCCAACTTTGTCCAGCAGAAGAGAGCTCACGTGCAGTCCAAAAATGTCACCCGCATTGGAGTTGGTCGCCCAAAGACCCATGATGAAGCCCCGGCCCTCCTGGTGACGAAATCTGCCCAGCTTTGGTCAAACAGAAAGGAGGAATCAATGCTGATTTTATCACTGAAAATCAACACATCTAGATCAGGTCATCCTAGGTCATACCTTTAAAATTTTCTCCCAGGCAGGCCACAAATACCCTCTGGTGTCATCAGCTCCATGGCTTGCTGGACAATTCCCCATCTAGTTCGATGATTTTCCCATGAAAATACCTGTTTATCGATGATTCTCCAGCTAGCCATGTTGGATGACACCGGGTCAACTACGTCCCTCTCCTGTGGAAACCAGTTCCCCATGATGGCCACCGTACACGTCCATCCTGTCGCTTGCACGAGGCCTTCGATGATGCGCACCACGACCCACAAGAAGTAGCAGAATCCTTGGCCGCCACAGCCATTCGCACCCATGAGGCCTTCCAGAATTGGCAGCAATGCACAACACAACCTGGGCTGGTTTCCACTCTAAGCTGAAAAATAGCGGAAAAATAAGGGTATCATCATTTAGTAAATATAATAAAAAAGATGTTTGACACAAGCCTATTTGCCCAGCAACATGCCCCAAATCAATGCCCGTTTGGGCCTTACCTGGTCCGCAAAGCGACCACAAATAAACTGGCCGATGGCATAGGCGAACATGTACCCCGTGGACATTAGACCGAGCTTGGTGGCGGAAAAGCCAGCGTACTCGGTCATGGAGGAGGCAACACCCGAAAAACTGATCCTTTCAGAAAATGGTGAACTGGGTGGGACTGGGAGAAACACCAATCCATCAATCCATCCTGTGGTTTTCCATAGAACAGTTGCAGTTTTTGAGGTAGTTGTCCCAAACCTCATTTTCTCCACGGAAAAATTCGGATTTCGGGGTTTTGAGGATGCCCCCCATGTTTGAAACCATCAGTTCCTCTGGGCGTGGTACATGGCATAGGTCGTGAAGGTGAGGAAAGCCACCAACAGCATGCGCGCGTCCATGGTGACGGAACACCTTTGCCGCTCTTCAAGGGACTGCTGTGGTCCACCATAGATGTAGTCTTGGATCTGCCGCACCATCAAAAAAAAACACACAAGAAGCACTAGCCGTAGCCGCGGTGGAACCAAAAAAGCTGAGGACGGAAGTGGGTGAAAAATTGGTTCACGGACTGGTGCTGAAGGGAATCCTATGCGGATCATCATCCCAGTTGTCGGGAAAGACACAATAAAATGTATTCCCACCAAGCAATTACTGGTTGACTTCCATTGTTCTCCATATTTGGGTACAAATAATGCCTCAACACAGTTTAATAAGTTTATATAGACCTAAAAAATGACAATGTAAGGCCCATGTCATTTTGGTGCCTGAGCCTCAAATTTTCACCTTGAACCCTCTGTCACCTTCTCCGGAGTGGTTGATAGGGATTTCCAAAGTGGATTCATCCCCACTCACAACTCACCATCAACTGTGCTGGGTGATATCCCAAGCTCTGCCACCTAGGTTTCGCCCTCAAAAAAACACCCTGGCTCTTGTGCCATCTGATTCTCTGGGCAAATTCTCAAGATTCTCCCAAGATTCAGCAATTTCCCTTGTCCCCATCGGGTGATGTTATCCCCGACCATCGACCTGCAGGAAGTCGGGATAGATCTGCTGCAGCACGTTGGGCCCGCTGGGCATCGTGGAATCCGCGATCAAACCTGAGCTGATCACAGCCTCGAACCCAGAAAGGAGCAAAAATCGAGGCGGATTGCTCCAAGATGACAGGACGGACATATAGATCGCCACCACAAGTTCTTCAATTTCCAAGCCGCGTACTTCCCGAAAAATTGGTTAAGAAATGGTAAGAAGGCTATCGAAGTGAACCGACAAACACGATCGTCTCATCGCCAGATATATCTGACTTCTAAAGATCATCTGCTGTGGGATGTTCACCCCTGTTAAACCACTGTTTCCAGTCATGTTTGATGCTGAAGCCTGAGAATCTGGGAAGCCTCACGCGCTTCCTCCAACAGATTCTGCTCTTCCACCTGACGTCACCATGTTTTAGCTTTTTTCATGAAAAGCATCTTGGGGGATAGGTTTTGCAAAATCTGTTACAGCACATGTTTTAACCATGGTTTACCATGTTTTACCTGAGTTTCATCTTGTTTTACCACAATGAAATGCCCTCGACCAACTGAACGGCGACGGGGTTGTCCTCCCAGCCTTTCCCTCGTCCACGGCCCAGCGCTGACACTCCACCTCAGACGGGGGGGCAGACACAACCGTAAAAAAATCCTGAGCTATGCAGCTTCCATACGAGTAGAAATATATGGCAAATATGTGTGTGTATAATATAAATATGTATATACACACATACATACCACAAAATACATGTGTACAATTGTGTGTATATACATGTATAATCATGTGTATTTGTATATATATATATGTATGTATGTATACATATGTATGATAAAAACGTGATATACACATACCGAGAGTGGGATGTGCAGAACTATACAACGAAGGGGGATAGTAGTGCACAACCAAAACACAATCATGGGGGATAAAACGAGCAATGACGCACCAGTCAGAGATGGGCAAGTAAAGGACCGAGATATCACCAAACATACCCAAAATCCACAGCTGTTTTACGGTGAAATAGAAACGTCCTAAAAGTATGCTGGTCGATTTGGGACCCTCTCACTCAAAATATAAGTTGCATCCCAAAAAAAAATAGTCCTCCTTGCTTTGAATCCACACTCTAGTTGTTTGAAAACGATCAGAAACCAAGGTCCCAGCGCGGATGCTGAAATCTTGCCTGGGCGCCAATCCCCTCCACCCACTTCAAAATGGAAATTCCCATATGGAGGTTTCCTAACTAAATCGTCTACGTTTACCCCTAGTTATCATCCATTTTCATGGGGATTTTCCATTTTTTTATCATCCAGCTATTGGGGTACCCCCATGACTTAGGAAACCTCCAAAACTCCGTGGGATTTCTCCAAACAAAATCGGCAGATCACCAAGTGGCGCGGTATCTGCCAGTGGTGGCACAAACCTCGGCGTCGCCACGGCTCGGCTACTCGCTTCCCGTCAATCTAACACTCGATCTGGTAAAGATGGCCCATGTAGTTTCATGTAGTTCCATGATTTACCCTCTGGTAATTTAACATAGCTATAGAAAATCACCATTTTTAATGGGAAAATCCACTATTAATGGTCATTTTCAATAGCTATGTTAAATTACCAGAGGGTACCCCTTTTTTTTGGAAAAAGGATGAAAAAGGTGTTCCAGCAAACTCTGAAAATTGCTAGGTGGTAATTGTTGCGGAAATGTTGGGCTTCCGAAAGGATGACTCACCCGGGATGACCAGCCTTATGGTTCGATACGGTTCGATCTGCATCGCCGCAACCATTGGGTGCTACCATTCGATGCGGATGACCATGAACATCAAAATGTATTAGAATGACCATCGAATCCAATTGATCTTGCAAATGGATCCACTCACATCTTGTGTACCCCTCCATCGACTTCGGTCAAGCCCTTTGTGGATCAAGGGCTCCCACTGCCGCCGAAGCAAGATGATCGCCATCACCCGGTCTTCTGAGATCAGAGTGATCTCCCAACCTGGCTATGGCCACCGATGGCATATATTTTTGGAGAGCCAAAAACGATTCGTAACGGGATCCCTGGAATAGACTTGCATATACTCACCGGAGTCTTTCATCTTGGATATCTAGATATTCACATGAAAAATGCACTTTTGATGCTTCAGAAATCTTACAAAAATCCTGTCCTGTTCAGCCGATCCATCCGTGGACAAAACAACCCCCACAAGTTTCTTGCTTCATCCCAAGTAGCCTGGCCTGTCCAGGCGCAAATGTCCTTTGACAGGTTCAGCCTGCTGATCGAAGCGAACGCTGGCGACAACGTCGAATGTAGATGTCTAGTGGTTCCAAGATTTCTTGCATATCTTCATAGATTCACATCATATTATATACATGTGTATATATATATGTGTGTGTACATGCTATGAAAAACGGTACCCATGTCCCCAACACTGGCTTTTCCAAGAGTCAACCGTTCAACCACCCAACGTTCACCCAAGGTTCACCCAAGGCTATCAGTGGTTGGCTCCCATCCCTCCCGGGCCTTTTCTGATAGGAACTGCTTTTGGTGATCATCACATCCTTCCTGCGGAAGAAAAAAAAAGAAGAACCCCGAGCCATCCCAACAATTGGCAACTTGTCATTGTCCCCATCAAGTAAGAGAAACATATATATATATATATATAATCATGTCAATATGAATGTATATACATACACATATGGGTCTTTTTCAAGGAATCTCATGTTTCTTGGTGAACACTTCCCAGGTTGTTTTCTCAGTCCTCATTTAAGATGGCTGACATCCCCCTTGATTGTTGTTCGCTCATGAAATTTGACCCTCACTTGTGCTCTGAGCGGCAGAGAGAGGCTGATGCTGCGCTTGTACTCCAACCCTGCCCAGCCTTAGCCAAGCTGCTGGATTTTTCATGAAAAAAAGCTTGCAAACTCAAGAACATCCGGGATCTGTAAGGTGATCCGACTACCTGCTATGGTCTCTATCATTCAAAAGCTGATTGGACCTCAGCTGTCTTTGATCGTAACTTCAGGGAAGGTGCTGGAACAAGAGAACGTCACCAAAAAGTGGACCAGCAACACACCAACCAACTGAAAAACAATATATCTATCAACATTGTTTGTGCCTATGTTATGTGTATATATATATATATACATACCCGAAATCCGAAATGAGCCCTAGTTTGGAAGCCTTGACCCATCAAATGGAGGCTTTGTCCTCCAAAACCAGGGTCAACACTTACTTATAAAACACCTGCTGGTTCAAGTGATCATTCTGGACTTGTTAAGCGGTCGTTTCAAGGGTTGGGTATCCTCAGGCCACCGATGAAAGGTGACATTGTGAATGTCATGGTATGCACATGTATTTGCACGATACAGTAGCTATAGAGACATATGTATATGTATGTGTATATATATATTATATATATATGATATATAATATATACATATGAGCCACGGTCAATATTTGGTATATAACTCCAAGTCATGAATTTTGAAGAGTGTATTATCGTTTTCGGATTTTTGTATACAAGCAAATGTTATCGTTTTTTGAAGAGTGTATTATCGTTTTCCAAGCCCCAGCTCAATTTCCAAAAAATAAAGATGTCTCGAATACTACTCTCCATTAGCCTAAATTTTGGCTGTAGCTCATATAATACATGTCCTAATACATAGTTCTAATACATAGTCCTCAGGCAACCCTTTGCAAGGCTCTCAGGCGAATGTGATTGTGGTGGGATGCTTCTAGGTCGGCCAGGGAAACGGGCCTCGGAATGGCTCTGTGTGGGACTTGCTTTTGGACCGATGATGTGAACACAAAAACTGCCAAAGAAAAATGAAAGATATGGAAGTTGCGCCCACTATGCTGTTTGGAATTTCGACAAATCGATTCCCAAGAGCATTCATTTGTTTTGGGTCATGAAACGGCTTCCAAGTTGTCGCTCAGCCAATCGGCTGGTGCACGGCAATTTCCAGCTCCAGCAACCTGTTCTGATGAAGGAAGTGACCTGCATGATCCTGGTCGTTGGGTGGGAAACCCGGAGAAAAAAAGGGATTATGGACCTACAAGGTCGGTTTTAAAGGAGTGAACCGACAATGAACCATTCATTTTTTGGGTGGAAATCGATGGATTTCAACATATTTCAACCCTAGCCCTAGCAAGTTCATAATCTTACATGGACCTTCAAACTCATGACTCACTAGTGACCCACCCCAACCCTTGTCCTGGGACATGTACGACTCAGGGATGAAGAATCTGTAGGCCGAATGCAAGACCTGCAAGGTCCCAAGGTCCCAAGATAGCTCCGAGTCCTGGTACTGGGTCATATCTAAGTGCAACATGGATTTGCATTCCTTTGGGATGATTTGGGGTTTGGCTGTAAGTACCTGACACATTTCTACCCAGCCATTCTCGGTCAGAGTACACTGAGCCAGGTTTATCACCTCGGCAATTTGGAGTACCCTCTGGTAATTTAACATAGCTATTGAAAATGGCCCATTTATAGTTGATTTACCTATTAAAGATGGTGATTTTCCATAGCTATGTTAGTTCACCAGAGGGTATACCTCCCATTGCCGCTGGGTCCCATATCCCGTGTACCTCCTTGCATCCCTGGAAGGGCTGCGCAGTCGAGTCTTTCTCCCCTGCGTCACAATGGATTCAGTGTTCGCCGTCTCTGGGGAGGAAAACCCAAACGAAAGGGTTTACCGGGCACACCCCAATTTACGGGTATTGCAAACAGAGAACATGATATTCTCAAAATGGTCCAAACATCTTAGAATATCTTAGACATGTCTTAAATATGATAATATGTTCAAACCAGTTTTTAACAAATAACAGAGAACATGATGTTCATAAATAACCGATTCGTGGCTACAACCATGTTTAAACCCCAGGACGACTTGGGGCTCACGGCTCCAAGTCCCCTGGCTGTCGCCTTGGAAGAACTGCACCAGAGACGCCATGAAGCCCTTGGAAGTCTCCGACGGTGGAGGGCTCGTGAGGTGCAAGTGCCGGACCTGGCTGATCTGCCTGGTTTAATGGGAGATATCGCCATATCGCTATCAATATCCCATGAAAGGCACCATTTTTAGTGGTTGCACCCAGAAATGAGACTATATGAGACTGGTGGTGATATGACATATCTGAGCTATAAAATTAAAAGATCTCTGGATATGAATCAAATGTTCAATCCTCATGAAAATCTGCGAAAATGACCCAAAGTTTTGTGGGCCGAGGGCCTTCAACTTTGACATCAGGAAGTCCGAAGTCCCTGGCCTGGCCAAAGCGAAAGATGTAGTCCGTGTTCCAAGCCACCTGAGCCCAGGGTGCAGATCGAAAGGGATGGATTTGGGCCGAAAGCCATTGAAACGGGTGGAAAATGTACGGGAAAACTGCAAAATCCCATGGTTTACCATGTTCCCACTAAATGGCTAGATGGACATTTATGGAGGTATACTGGTATAGGATGGTATAGGTATATCCCATTTTTTTGACATACCCATCTGGCTACGGGTCTGTCAAAAATTCCCCGAGCGCCGATAGAGAGAGTTTGTCCAAGGCTGACACTTGGATTTGCTGCGCCAGGGCATGCCGATTCTTGCTCCAGACCTCAAGGATACCCATGGAATCATCCTACAGCGTCCAATGAAATCTAGATTCTAATAGTGTGACCTCAAGTCAAAGCCTTGAAACGCCAGAATTGCATATAATTGCGGGACTCTCAAATGGATCCGCAGCTGGATTAACCGAACTTTGCAACCCAACAGCGGGTTCTGAGTTCTAAGGTTGCAGGGTTGCAGGTGCCGTTCCGGCTCGGGCCCCGCGAGAAAACTGAGCAACAGCCCGATTGAAACCCAACAGTGGCTGCTGTTGGGAACAAAGTATGGCCAGGATCTGTGTTGCCAACGTCCGCATTGCTGAGTCATACCCCAGCCAGCCATCTCTGATTGCTTTTTTTTCTGTGCCCACATTTCTGTTGCCAAAAACCGCCCCATCTAGACAGGATCATCAATACATCTGTGGTGTCTAAGTGCCAGAATTTACCACGGCCGCTGAGACTCTGAGACGCCTGCTGTCAGCGTATCACCCATCCACGCGCGGGCGCCCGATTCACCTCAGCGTATCACCCGACCGGAAAATGCCATCGGTCGCAGTGAAATTTCTGCTGGTTTCCAACTCTGGTTTCCAGCTTCATCCAGAAAAATGGTGAATCCGCCCGGTTTTTCAACGCCCAGATGCTGAGCAAGAGTTTCAACTGAGTGGAGTCTTCGGCATCCTGACCACCACGCTGGACCATTGGACCATTCCCAGACCAGGGCAAAACGGGCAAAACGCTCAAAAAATGCGTTTAATATGGGTTTAATGATTACAGAAATGTGATAAAATGTGCCAAAGCACCCGGACTTCTCATGTTTTTTTTCTGAATGCAAATGGACCATGCAATCATCGTGGAAAATTGTGATCCATGCGCCTCATCCATTGATCGGATGAAGGCGAAGAAGATTGCGCCACCTGTGTCAACGTGTTTTTGACGATCCATGGACAAATGGATTGTTGCTTATGAAATAGCATAAACATTCATTTATAGTAATCCCATGTAATCCCCAAAAAGATAGAAAAGTAAAGTCCCACTAAAATCTTGATGAATTACTATCCTGCTATATTGTTGGTGAAATCTTGAAGAATATTGAACAAGTCCCCATGGTTTTTGTTAAAGGGATTATCTCTCTATTACATTGTCAAACTTGTCAATTACTAATCTACTGATCACTGAGTTACTTTTCCAGATTTTCTATGAAAACCGACGGGCTTTTTCTAGGAAAGTACATGGGATTCCTGTAAATTGTCCTCTTGTCTTATCCACTTCTGTGGCAGGCCTATCCCATGGTTTGCAACTCGGACGCACATCTGTGGTAACCATACCCCCAAGTTGATTCAAAACACCTCAACAAGGCTTCATCGGCTTTACCCTCCAATCAAACATCATGGAAAATATTCTCCATCCCAGTTTTGAGTACCAGCTTTGGTCACCTTTCCCCGTTTCTGCAGGCCAGGCGCTTTGGTCATTGGGGTAAAGTCCCCCCAGACTTCGTCGGACCAGGTATAACGCATGTTTTCCCACCGCCAGGAAGCACCTCAAGGGAAGATGGAGATCGAGTTCTCTTGTGGCCCAACAATTACTTGCTGCTTCTGACATCTGATATAGCTCATTTGGTTTCAAAAATAATAGAGTCTACTGGTGCAAATCTCAATCATTCATCCCAATTTACACCACTATGCCTCTTGTTCCCAGGCTTCCTCACGTCACGTTGTGATCGGCAGACTTGAATTTGACCTTGAAAAAACTCCAAAAGCGCCAACATGGAATGTGCTGGAGAAAAACAAAAACAGTTTCCTCTAAACTTCTAATTCACGGTCTAGAATCCGCGCAGGCAAATGATGAATATGGATTTTACTCGCAGAGGACTCACATGGAAGCCCAAAAGAACTGACCAATTGTAGTGAGACCCACCGTACCAGCGAATAGCCGAATAGCCGAATAGCCCCAGGATTGTTCGGTGTATCGCTATCCTCTCTTTATTAGATCCTATACCCAACAGTCTTGGGTCATTTTTTGAGTGTGTTCAATAGACAAATTGTAGGACACGATGGTGCTATCAAATATAACTTGCCGGCCATCAAACATAACCATAAAAATTCAAAGTGTCTATGGTGTTTCCATGTTTTCCATGTGTTTTTTTTCCAAGCAAATATCAGGATTTCCGATTTTCCAGTGGGATCCTCTATCTCTGGCGCACCAGTTCGAAGTAACGCAGCGGTGCCTTCGTTCGCACCGCCTGCAAATCTCTGGAGCTTGGACCAGCTTGGACCAGCTTGGACGCAAAATGCTGGAACCAGCGTAAGTCATGGTGAAGTGATGTTAAGTGGCAGTTTGACCAACCAAACTATGGTGGATTATGGTGGTATAGTTCAAGAAAAGTTGGCCAACCATTTTAGTTCTACCTGGTAGAACTGATGCGAATGATACAACTGATACATCTGATAGAGCTGTTGTGACCAATGATCAGGGCAGGGCGACGACTTTGTGACGATGTTCATTAAGGAGCCCCCCAGCCAGCTCACTCTTTGGCCATAGCATGCCCCCTTGCTGCAACTGAAATGCCGAAGAGTTGTTTGTGAAGATCCCTTTTTGTGACGCTGAGAACTCAAGTGATGGGTTGAGATTTTTAATTTTGTTGGCTACATCCTCCTTTTAGTTGTTGAACGGTTATCAAAATCCCGTTCTTGATTGTTGACACCCCCATCGCAGCACCAAGCAATTTATCATGGTTCCATTATATCTCTCCATGTGCTCCCTCTTTGGCTGGTGAAATCCCCATTCTCACTGGTTTAGATTCTGGATCTCCCTCTTTGTTGATTAACTCACTTTTTGTCAATCGAATCCTTATCTGTGTGTGTGACTTCATTGATTAATTTGTCTCAAAGTTCGTGTTCGCAGATTCCAATTCTTCCTTAAAACACCGGATGTTGGCTATTGAAGCCATTCTGGTTGAACTCGTTACGTTTGCTCAGAAAATCCCTATTTCTTGTGGCCACAGCATGCTGAGATGGCCACCAAGGCTTGCAGAGCTGCCCGATCTGCTGACATCACCTGGTGTTTGGGCAAAGAGGTGCTTCTCAAAGTCACAATAAGCATATAATAACTGTAACAATAAGTATCATGAAAAACAAAAAGGGAAAGACATTACAGTAATAGTAAGAGTAGTGATAGTGACAGTAATAGTGGCATATTAACGATCAAAACCATTGAACCCGCACCGTGTACCATCTCGTGGCAACTTCTTAGGGCGCCAAATCATCCGCCTGTGTCAGGTGAGAGCCCAAAATGTCCATAAAATGTGCATAAAATATCAACTTAATGTGGAAAAATCAATCTAAATCAATTCCTCAGGAGCTTTGAGGTACCCTATTTGACAAACCCATCCAAGCTCTGATGAACTTCGGTGCCTGTCCATTCTCTGCAGCTGGCCACGAGAAAATACGGTGAGATCATGGCAGAAATGACATGGTATATCTTGACAACTCATCAGTTGGAAACATTGGTTCAAAAAAACAAAAACTACCCGAATGGATTACAACTCTGTTGTGTTCCAAAAACACAACAGCTCCTGGTACATTTGTTCTACAGTAAGTTTACCAAAGTCCACGCTGGCATCCGTTTCTCTGTAAGTTCTTCATCTGAGCAGAAATGCTGCAGCCTTTATATGTGCCCATCAATGGCAGCAGGTTTCGAAGCTTCAACCTTAGCCAAGTGAAAAGCAACAGTTGGTACAACCAAATTTATTATTCAATACCATTGAACTGCCAATACTTCGCACATCATACCGAATAGGTATCGCTGATACCCATCATCTATTCTGAAAATCAAGGAAATCACTCTCCAAGTGGAAAAAAATGATGGTTATTTATTTAGTTATTCATGTCAATGTGCTACCCTTACTTCTTCATCTAACATGGGCCCACCCTTATCCACTGCATTTGGTCAGAAATGGTGACCTCATTGTTGTCGAGCTGTAAAGTCAGAAGATGCGGCAACTTGGTGACGGCATCGATGTTGTTGAGCCTCACCCAGAACGGATTGTTTTTAGATGTGATCTCATAGTGGGCAATGTTTCTCATAGTGTGGCAATGTTGTTTTTCTGTTTTTCTCAGAAAATCCTGCAGTGTTCCCACTCATAACATTAGCAAAGTTATATATATATATGTATAAACTTAGGTAAAATGTTCAAACTAATTACTTGAGGATAAACAATTATAACTACGTATAACTATAACTAATAAAACTAATAATCTCGAGCTCATCCATGGTTATCCCCCAAGGATTGGTCCAGGATTTCTCCCAGCAGCTTGTTGTTGGAGAGGATGATGTGGCGCAGCCTTCGAAAACGGCAGAAATCTCCATCAAAAATGGAGGTTTATAGCTGGGAGAATCGTAGGAAAATATGGGAAAATCCACTACACACATGCATTTAAATAGGAAAATCATCTATCATATCAAGGGGAATGTCCATTGCCATGTTTGATTACCAAAGGGTACAAAAATCATATATATATATATAACCCAACTGAGAAAATCCCTGGGTTCCATTTGAGCCAAAGGATCCATGCTGCTGTCAGCGTCTCTGGGTGTCCAGTCTGAGTGTAGTTCTCTACCTTGTTCCCAAGATCGGTCAGCTCCTGGGCTCAGGAAATTCCGCTGTCAGGAAGGTATTGGATTAAATGGTCCCTTGTTTGCGGCAACCTCTGCAAGTGCAAGCTGAACTTTTACGCATGGATACTTCAAGGATACATCCTGGCTTGGTGGGTCCCCAAGTTTCAGCGACCATTCGAGGAGTCACTAACAGAGTCATGAACTCATGGCTACAAATTTATGACTTGCAAACCCTGTCCTGACTTTTTGCCCAAACCAGCTGGGGACATATGATCAACGAAGACTTTTGGTCACATCCCCACTTTCGAACAGACCAAAATCCCTCCTTGTTGGTGGCCTGAAATTCCAGTCCTTTGGTGGCTATGAAAAAAAAAACACCGGGCTTGCCTTGTTGGAGCAATCGAGTTTGGTGAAGGCAAAACCACCCCCGACCTTAGCCATCGGCCCTTTTCTTTCCATAAAATGGCAATTTGATGATGATTAGATAGTGACAAATCCAATTTAATGGTGATGTTCTTGTGATCTTCTAATTTTATGGTGATGTGTTTACTCAATGAAATTGTGATTATATAATATATATATATTATATATAATTGATATTAAATGGGGATTTGATAGCTATAGCGCAGAGATGAGGTGCCAACATACCCACAAGTCGCTATTGTCATTTTTGGTAAACGATTTTGAGCCATAACATGCCATAGCACCCGCAGATTCTGTGCAGCGGCAATGTGTAAAGTGTTGAAAATAACAATTTGTCCACCGCGGTGGAAGCAAGGGTGAAACTAAAAAAAAAAATAGGTTCTACTAAAAATAGAAAACAAAAATAAAGTTGAAGAAATGACGACGACGACCACCACAACAACAACAACAACAACGGCAAGGCCCCCGGCAGCTCGGTCGATCTGCGACAAGCTTTGGCTCAGAATCCTGTCCAACATGGCCCAATTTTCGGATGGTCCGGGGGCATTTTAAAACGAAACAAAATGGTTTTGTCTGAAAATAGTGTACCCCCAAATCCAGTGGATTATCAGATTATCATCATTTTCCCCATTTAAACAACCATTCAGGGGTATACCCCATTTTCACGCACACCCAAATAAACAGCACACCAACGCACTTCGACAATCTGACCAAGATGGTTGGATGATTCACTTGTAATTTTGGATTTGAATCGGTTTGATGATTGCTTGGCCCAAAAATCAAGATTAAACAGGATCATGTGTACTGAACATGACTCACCTGTGTGGTTCTAAGGGCCTTCGAATCGGATGCAATTTGAACCCATTCATGTCGATATCCAGATCATATGATGTTGTGACACCCATATGATATGGAAATTTTGGGAAGATGGGTGAACTGATCACTGGAAAAGTGATGGATTGGTTGACTGCTGCAAAAATTGGTGAGATTCCATTGAAGGATCATGCCATCCCAGGAAACCCAGAACCCAGCAGCCAAGTCAGGCAGCCAGACTCATGGGTGAGGGGGACAAAATCAACCTCAAACGGGCTGACATTTGAACCACAGGAAACTGGTTGTCAGAACCTTTCGTCTGAAACGCATCAAAAAATGTCCAAATGTGAGTGAAGTTAACCAAAAAAAAATGGAAATCCAAAACATCATGGTTAATTGTCATGGTTCGGATATGGGTTGGTGCAAGTATGACATGTTTGCCGTTGTGTATTTCGAAATTCTCAAGATGTTGCTAGTGGTCATCCCCACCAAAAGAAAAATGTTTTCAAAACCGGGGATAGACTGGCAGGGAAAATTCGAAGAAAGGGGTTGTCTCCGAATTTGAAACCCCCCAAAATCCCATGGTTGAGAAGAAATGAAAACAAACATCAAAACTGCCACGATTTTGATGTTTTCCCAAGGCACCTCGGCCATGATCCATGGACCCCACGATCTGAACCGAAATCTGCGAGGAAAGACCAACCGAATTGTAAAGTAACAAAATGAAACCAACCAATGCTGTATGGAAATCATCAAGTACAAAATGCGAGTGATTCCAAAACAACACGAAATTTTCCAACTACATGTTGATCAGTTTTTTGGGATTGTTTCGGGGCGATCGCCTTTTGGAACATCAAGAATGACCAGATCTGTTAGGAGGCAGAGACTAAAAATATGTTTTTTTGTAATTTTGGCGTTGCCATGGGTCTGGTGATCCAAAAACAAAATGCCACCAGGTAACATTTATTCAGTATATGTTTTGTTCGGGCCAACTTCTGCGACATCATTTGAAAATTCATTTTTCCCGAATCAGTAGCAAGGGTTCCCGTTTCACTCTGGGGGTCTGGGGGTTGAAGCTGTGATCGCCAAATGTTGCGCAACCATCTGCAACCGTCCACAACCGTCCGCAAGCGTTCGCGTGAGGGCTGTATGGCCGTGCCTATGCCAAGTTTTGCAAAAGCGGTCACTTTTGGAGGTTTCAATCGTCGTGTGGAAGATAGCCTAACAACAACCTGGCTGCGTACACACATGACCTCCTGAGCCACTGCAGTCTCTTTTTGTGCCCAAAGTAAGCCGCTTCGCCTGGGATTCATCCCGTGAATCTACAGGTTATGAGCCCAAGGTCGCTCAACTGAAAGCCATGTCGTGGAGTACAGGAACTATGTCAAGAGCTGTGGATGGGTTTCAAAGTGAAAGCTGAGGAGAAGAAGATCCAGGCCAAGGACATAGTAGCGATCATGGCAGAGACCCGTTCTGAAGAAGAGGTGAGAGGAACACCTCCTAACCCAGGCGAGACCGAGAGGTCTACCAGATGAGACACAAAGCGAGAACCTATTGGACCTTGACTTGGATGAGGACGAGCTGAGGATGGCAGGCACACCGCCAAGCTGGGAACCACTGGAAAGCCAGGGTGGGTCTCAGAGTGATGCAGTTGGGTCACAATCAGTGCAGGTGAGCACTGGATGGCCTACGGGTGTTGGGACCAGAGGGACTTCAAGGAGTTCAAGTGATGGGGTCCTACGGGATTCCAGGCTGCAGTCACTACTGGAGGCTGACATGGCGATGAGGTCTTTGGACCCCCACCTCCACCTCTACCAAGACCTTATGGAGGGTTTCCAGGCGGATGAGATGGACAAAGGCAATGTCAGGGGCTCTAACAAGGTTGGGGAGATTGTCAAGATGATGTCCGACGAGGAGGTGGACCACGTGAGCCACTACCGGGACAAGATCAACGTTGTGGACTGCAACGAGATGGCGATCAAGGAGGTCATGTACGTGGAGCCAATCAAGGAGGTGAGGTTCACTTGAACGATGGGCCTCAACAAGAGCAGATGCATTGGGGTATGTGGCATAAGGTACAACCCCTTGGACAAGATCACCGAACTCCAGTGGGACAAGTTCATGGAGGAGGTGAAGTGTAAGCGTTTTGGGCCCCAGAACCGCCAATGCAGCCTAAAGAGGAACCTGGCGAAGTGTGGGAAGACTGGAAATGAGGGAACCAAAGGGACATGAACAAGGTCAACCTGTAGGACATCATGGACAAGCAGCTGGATTACCAGTTTGCGGTCTGGCGGCAACTTCCATACCATCAAGCTCATTCAGAATTTGATTGTCATTCGGTCGAAAACCTTCATATAAACAACACCAAATGAGAATCCAGCAACTCACGGCAACCTGCAAAGATGTAAAATAGCAGTTTATACCATCCACAATCGTCCATGGCTATTGCGCGACCTGCCCACACACAAATGGCTGCGGAAATTTAATCAAGCTCACGCTGGAATCCATTCCAAGCAGTCCACAAACATTCCAAAGACAGTCCATCAAGGACAGTCCAAGATATCAAAGAAAATCCAAGAATCCAAAGATCATCCTCACGATGTCTTTTGGGTTTTCTTGCACTCTTGCAACTGGAACTCGAATTAACTATTGCAATTGTAAGACCTCAAAGTCTTGATAATTAGATCCGACTACCCAAGCAACGCACAGGGCAACGATCAAAGAGACCTCTGCTTCATGTTTTAAACATGTCAAGCTATCTCTATCCAGATGACTTCACAAGTCCATTCCATCCAACTATCCAAAACGCAGCAGAACGCTCCTTTTGGAAGATCAGGCGGTTCACACCTGAAAAGTTAGACCCAATTGACCCCCGCAGCTGCTTCAATCACCTGAACCGAATGCAAGCAATGAACATTCGCACAAAAACCTGGCAAACTTGAAAGTCACAGACACATCTGAAACTCTTCTCAAGACGTCGACTAAGTTCCTCTGAACTCGACATGATCCTGAAAGCTTTCTTGATGGGCAAACCTGGAATACCTTCAATTCCCATTGCACAAGCATGGACTACAGACCTGAATGGAGCTCTTGCCTGAACGAATGCAGACAATCTCGGATGCGTCCAATACCTGTTGGAATTTGGCAACTCAAAAGATACGGATATATTATGCTTCTCAAGTTTGTTCAACAACTTCTCACATGCAGACAAAGCTCAAAGAACTTCTTCATGTTCTGGAACGCGGTTGCCAGCTGAAAAATTCTGCAGCGGAGAACCACCTGTGCATGGAAGTGACATGTGAACGTGGCAGAATACATGCACCTCTCCGAGTACTGATCTGGTCATTGTGAGGTCCGTCATCACCTGATTCACAAGGTCTGCAACATGATGCTGTGTAGCTACCTTCTCAAGGTTCCCATGAACACCACTGTAACATGCACGGCTCTCTGCACATGCAGATGAAAGAACCGTGGACCTTCCACCAACCTCCCTTTCACTCATGAAATGGGTGACATCTTCTGATGAAGCTGAAGACGAGGATCCTGGACGAACGGCACCTGGGGCTGTGGCAGCGATGGACGCCATACTGTACAAGAAACAAAGTGAGACGCAGAGAGAGAAAAAGCATGTATTAACACTTACGCTCATGCTAGTGCGTCGCAAATCTGCTTGCAAAACCTCTGCGGGCAGCAGCAAAATTCTCCGATGGCTGACCCCACTTTTGGGTCCAAATCTGGATCCCAAAACGGGGCCCAAGCAAAGACCTAAAAGAAGGAATGAAAATGTGATCCAATTCTGGACCCCATTTGGGGTCCATATTTGGACCCAAAAATGGGGTCAGCCATCGGAGAATTTCGCTGCTGCCCGCACATGTTGTGCAAGCAGATTTGCGACCCTGCAGCTTGAACATGAATGTCAACTCATACCTTTTTCTCTTTGTGCGGCCCAAGTCCGGTTGCTACTGTCAAGGTCCCTTTATCGCAGCCATGTTTTGACCACTTTTTTGGGCCCTGTTTTAGGGGCCATGATGAAGCAGGTTTGTTGGCATTCGAGGCGCTCCAAGGCTTACCGAGGCCTGCCCGAGGCACGAGGACAAAGCGAGGCTCACGGGGACTCGAATCTATATACTATGGGGGTACGCCCATGCGTCACCGCAAAACTGCCTGTTTTGGGGCCCTGGTTTTGGAACCTCATTTTGCTCAATCTTGCGGCCGCTTCTTGCTACTTACATGGGGGAAGGTTTTGGCGGCAGCAGGTTCCGAGTCCTTTATGGTGGAGAAATCTATTGCAGGTTCTGGTGCGCGAGCTGAACCACTTCAAGCAGCAGCGCAAAGCGTTGCGACAGGCATCTCAACTGTGTTGCTTTGGCGTGCAGATGCAATTCGTCACTGTTTTCTGATGTTGGCCCTCTTGAGACCATCGCGGAGAACAGGACAGAACAGAAATCGGCAGCAAAGCGCCGCCAGCGGTTGCTAAAAGCACCCTGATAGACCAATAGTCTGGATTAAGGGCTTTAAGCCTGTAGTTCAGACTATAGTCCTAAACTTTTTTTTCAATGAGTACAGGTCTATTTTTTTATTAGACCTGTACTTTTTTTTCCTTCCATCCTCCCTTTTTTTGTTTTGTAAAATACGTTTTAAAGATTATATTTGTTTTAAAAATATATTTTGGATTTTTTTTATTTTTGATCCTCCCTTCCTCCCCCTAGCTGATTTAAAGAAAAGAACATATTTTTGTTTTTCCAATTGGAAGAGGTGCACTTTAAGTTTTTGCTTTTCAGGTGCATGGCAGCAGCTTTTTTTTCAAAAAGCAGGCACAGAAAACTCTGCAGCAAATCTTTGCAGAACATTAATTGACACAGACCAAGGGGTTTGCAGGTTGCCCTTGCTTCTACCCAACCGAGCCAGTGTGCCACCTGCTTCTTCATCCCTGTATACCCAATTCATACTTGGATTGTCAAATGCTAGAGCAAGCTCAGCCATTCCATGGAACTTGGGTTTGATGTACCAAGTGTATTCTGGAAGAGTCCCCTGTGGCTCCACCCTTGGGCTTGCCACCTTTGGAGTCGTAGCCACCCACGCTGGAAGAGAACTCTTCGCTGTGCTTCTCAACTTCTTCAAACTTGGCCAAACCACTGGCACTAGACCAGAAGTACTTCTTCTCACCTTTGTCCTTGAGGAACTTTTCTTGCGGCAAAGAGTCATCCCACTTCTCAGAGCTGCTTTCCAAAGTGTCCAAAAGTTCCTTGAAAGATGGTGAGCCTGGATTTCGATGCATCTCATTGGCAATTTCCCACCTGAGGAGGGAAGAGGGATTAGCAATAAAAGTGGAAAAAAACAAACTTTGGTCCCCAGCTGGCCTTGTCGACCAGCCAACAGCACCCTGCTTCTTGGAGGCACTGGTCTTCTCAAAGGACTCAGAGTAGCTGCTGTACCACTTGCAACTCTTGTCAGCCTTCCACTTGGCAACCAAAGCCTGCTTTTGTGCATCGAACTTTCCCAGGGTCTTGTAGTGGTTGTACAAGGCCACAGCATCGTCTGAACTTGCCCTCTTCATTTGGCCCAAGAAGTTGCTGATGTCCTTCTTGTCGACAGTAGCAGCTTGGGACACAGGAACAATCTCCTCAACGCGAGGAGACCTCTGGGGAGAAGGTGGTTCAACTTTCACCTTGGCAGCTGCCTTGGCTGTTGCCTTCGCAGATGACTTAGCAGCTGCTGCCTTGTTAACTCTCTTGGCAGCTTTTTTCACCACATCCTTGCCAGGAGCAGTCTTAGGCTTGGCAGCAGCTTTGCCCATTGTTCTCACAAGAACTAAATTTAGTTGCCTGCTTACAAAGGCACTTGAGAAAAACAGCTGGCAAAGAACGATTGCCAAAAAAAAATCTCAAGGCAACTCCAGGATTTTTTCAAAGCTGAACATCTCTGAGTTTGGCTGCTCATGACTGATTGCAATGCAGAGCTGTGAGCATCTTCAGGTGCAACTCACTGAATCAGCAAAACATGTCAATCTGGAAAGTCAAAGGCAAAACATTTTAAAAAAAATACTTTGCAGAATTTTCTGGGATTAACTAGAGTTAACTTAGCAGAATTAACTTGAGTTAACTTAAGTTAACTTGAGTTAACTTAAGTTAACTTTGTTAATTTTAAATTAGATTTAAAGGGAGTTAACTTAAGTTAACTTAGTTAACTTTGAGTTAACTTGAGTTAACTTGAGTTAACTTTGACTGGCTGGATTTTCACAATTCAAAAAAAAAACTGTGAAAGGAAAAACTGGTCAGACAAATGTCCACACATTTTGGCAAGAGGTTCAGAAGCCCAAGATCTTGAAAAATAGTGAAACAAAGTCTGGAAATGGAAAAACTTAAATGGATTCCCTTTGGGATTTGCACCACTCTTTCACTCGCTCAGCAGGCTCACCTGCTTCTAGCTTCTTGACAGCCTGCAGCATGATATCTTTCAAGTTCTCTTTGGGTCGGTGCTGGCAAGTGATCTGGAAAAGCTGGTTGCCACCTCTTTGCCGAATGGCCCAAGAATGCTTGGGCTTTTTGTAGTACATGAGAACAAATGGGGACTTGAAAGGGTCCCCTTCCACAGGTGCAGCAGCATTTCGAGCCTTGGAGACAGGGAGGGCATTCAGAGCTGCAGCTGGCCTCTTCTTGACAGGGATCTTGGCTGAAGGTTTCTTCTTGGCACCAGTGCTCTCTTGGAAGCTTAGAAGCAAAGAGTTGGGAAGCTCGGTTGCAATGTCTACGCTTTCTGGAGGAAATGTGGCCACAGCAAAACCGTTTTCTCCAGGCTTCATGATGCTTTGCACCAATTGCCCTGAAGGAAGCAGCCTGACCATGCACATACTAGCATTGTCAAAGTATTGCTGATACTCTTGCTCTGAGCTGGCCACAGAAACCACTGAAGCACTGGATTTGTCTGGCATTTCCTCATCTTCAAAAGAATCATCTCCCAATGCTGCTTTCGCCTTCTGCAGCACAGTTTTGGCATTCAGCACTGGGTCAATGCCTGGAGGGAAAAGCTTCTTGGAAGTAGAAGCGAGGGAAGGTCTGCTGGAAGAAGAAAGCGAAGAAACCCCTGCTTGAGGAGATTCTGGTCCTAGCTGCTGAATTATTCTCCAGACAGAAGAATTCAGTTTCTTTCCACTTGTACTCTGCTTCTTTTTCAAAAGTATGTGCTTGAGGCCTGCATCAAGCCTTTGAGCCCATGCTGTGCATTCACCAGCAGTAAGCCTAGGGAAGGCTTTGCCTATTGCACTTTGTAGAAAAGAAATTGTCATTCTTCTCTCCAGCTGCAGCAGCTCCAAGCACAGTTCCTCGTGGTTTTCTACTAGGACATCAGGATCTGCTACCAAAAACTTGTGGGATTCAGGGCCACCAGGAGAGCAATGCCTGAAGGCTTTCACAGCTGCCACCAGATGCTGATCTGCCATGGCTAACACATTTACCTTGATGCTGAAAAAATCATGGACATACACATGCTGGTTTTCTGAGTGAGTGCAAAGGTCAAATAGACACAGCCCAACTGCCAGCTCCAACCAACCAAGTGCACCTCTTTCCAATTTTAGAAAAACAAACTGAACAAAAAATACTTTCAAAAAAAAATATTGATTTTAAAAAAAGAATCAAAGCACAGGGTGGCTTCCTCACCATCCTCCCCTAGCCACCTTTAAAAAAAAAAGACCCGTACTCCAAAGACAAAGAAAGGGTCTAATTTTTCTTAATAAAAGGGTCTAATTTTTTAAGGGTCTATTGGTCTATCATGGCACCCCAACAGCCGCCAAGCTAGGATGTGCGTTTTCCCACAGCGCGGAGCGTATAGTTGATGAACTTGGACTACTATACCCTGAAAACCGTGGAAATTTGCGGAAAAACATGGCCAGCGTATAGCGTATAGTTGGTTCAATTCGATAAAAAACCTTACTAAAAAAAATCTTTCTTAGAATGTGAGCTGACCGGCCAAAATGGATCTCACGCCACAGCGCGGAGCGTTTAGTAGGGTACTAAACCGTCTGGCCCGCAACACCAAAATTGTGTTCTCGCCACAGCGCGGTGGGTTTAGTTGGGCTCTTTGTTTGCACGATTATTTTAGAGATTCCATTTGTTTGCGTGACGGGCGCAGCACTTGAGAACCCCGTACGGCCATCTGAAAGGTTGAAGCGCGGCTGGATACTTTTATTTGACGCCTCCACATGGAGCAGTGGAAAGGTGGAAGCCGATGGTGCCAAGCACACACTGCCCTATAGGTAGATCTCCTTCATTGGGGCCCAGATGAAAGATTTCCCTCATTTGCAGAGGAAACCAACAAAGCTATATTTCGTTGCTTGCCCCGTCCACGGAACAAAGCTGAAAAAATTGCAGTAGTGAACTCTTTCTCATCAATGTGGTTGGAAATCAACAGCGCTCTTGCAGCAGAAGGACAGCGCCCATCACAGTGGCAAGCCCAACCTGAAGCCTCCACCAAGAAAGATAAACGCGATCTTTGACCCTCAGCTATGATTGCTGTAGCTCCCCTTTTTTCTTCACTGGAAGATTGGACTATCTACACACACACACGAAAGCCGGTGTGACGCTCGGAGATTTACAGATGCTTCAAAAGCGGCTTGTGGTGTTCAGATTTACAGTTCCTGTGGAGAATCCCGACATCGGCATTCCTGCAAAGGGGAATCGTCGATGTTTGCGCTTCCAAACTCAGACTTGCAGTTGCAAATCCAAGATGAGGATTTGACGTATGTTTAAATCCCCCACGCCCCATCTTCAATGGACGAAGGCTTAAATGTTGGAGTTTCACTAGGTCACATCCTCAAATTGGAATTCACTTCTTAGTTGCAATAGCATCAACACACCCTCAACATTGACAATGGGGTCGCAGGGGTTCAGTTTGTGGTTGGCCCTTGTGGGGGTACGGGGTTCTCAAGGGCTGTGCCTGCCACGCTTCAATGTTTAAGATGGCCATACTGGGTTCTCAAGCGCAGCGCTGCCGCGCGTCAACCTTTAAGATGGCCGTACTGTGTTCTCAAGCACTGCACCTGCCGCACTTCAACCTTCACGATGGCCGCACGGAGTTCTCAAGCGCTGCACCTGCCGCGCTTCAACTTTGAAGATGGCCGTACAGGGTTCTCAAGCGCTGCGCCTGCCGCGCTTCAACCTTTAAGATGGCCGGACGGGGTTCTCAAGTGCTGCGCCCGTCACGCAAACAAATGGAATTTGTAGAATAATCGTACAAACAAAGAGCCCAACTAAACCCACCGCGCTGTGGCGAGAACACAATTTTGGTGTTGCGGGCCAGACGGTTTGGTACCCTACTAAACGCTCCGCGCTGTGGCGTGAGATCCATTTTGGCGGTTCGGCTTACATTCTAAGAAAGATTTTTAGCAAAGTCTCTTTTTATCGAATTGAACCAACTATACGCTGTCCGCTGGCCATGTTTTTCCGCAAATTTCCACGGTTTTCGGCGTATAGTAGTCCAAGTTCATCAACTATACGCTCCGCACTGTGGGAAAACGCACATCCTAGCTTGGCGGCGGTGCCTGCCACATGTTCACGTCCTCAAAGGCGGTTTCTTCCACAGTAGCTCCTGACAAACCTGCTTCATCATGGCTCCCAAAAAAGGATCTAAAAAACCAGCAGAAACATGGCGGCCAGAAAAAAACCTCGACTGTACAAGAAACAAAGTGAGACGCAGAGAGAGAAAAAGCATGTATTAACACTTACGCTCATGCTAGTGGTCGCAAATCTGCTTGCAAAACCTCTGCGGGCAGCAGCAAAATTCTCCGATGGCTGACCCGACTTTTGGGTCCAAATCTGGACCCCAAAACGGGACCCAAGCAAAGACCTAAAAGAAGGAATGAAAATGTGATTGGGGTCAGCCATCGGAGAATTTCGCTGCTGCCCGCACATGTTGTGCAAGCAGATTTGCGACCCTGCAGCTTGAACATGAATGTCAACTCATAGCTTTTTCTCTTTGTGCTGCCCAAGTCCGGTTGCTACTCTCAAGGTCCCTTTGTCGCAGCCGTGTTTTGACCACTTTTGTGGGCCCTGTTTTAGGGGCCATGATGAAGCAGGTTTGTTGGCATTCGAGGCGCTCCAAGGCTTGCCCAGGCCTGCTCGAGGCACGAGGACAAAGCGAGGCTCACCGGGACTCGAATCTATATGATGCGGGTGCGCCCATGCGTTACCGCAAAACTGCCTGTTTTGGGGCCCTGGTTTTGGAACCTCATTTTGCTCAATCTTGCGGCCGCTTCTTGCTACAGCAGGTTCCGAGTCCTTTATGGTGGAGAAATCTATTGCAGGTTCTGGTGCGCGAGCTGAACCACTTCAAGCAGCAGCGCAAAGCGTTGCGACAGGCATCTCAACTGTGTTGCTTTGGCGTGCAGATGCAATTCGTCACTGTTTTCTGATGTTGGCCCTCTTGAGACAATCGCGGAGAACAGCACAGAACAGAAATCGGCAGCAAAGCGCTGCCAACGGTTGCTAAAAGCACCCCAACAGCCGCCAAGCTAGGATGCGCGTTTTCCCACAGCGCGGAGCGTATAGTTGATGAACTTGGACTACTATACCCTGAAAACCGTGGAAATTTGCGGAAAAACATGGCCAGAGTAAAGCGTATAGTGGGTTCAATTCGATAAAAAACACTTACTAAAAAAAATCTTTCTTAGAATGTGAGCTGACCGGCCAAAATGGATCTCACGCCACAGCGCGGAGCGTTTAGTAGGGTACTAAACCGTCTGGTCTGGCCCGCAACACCAAAATTGTGTTCTCGCCACAGCGCGGTGGGTTTAGTTGGGCTCTTTGTTTGCACGATTATTTTAGAGATTCAACTTTTTGCGTACAGTAGCAACCGGACTTGGGACGCACAAAGAGAAAAAGGTATGCGTTGACATTCATGTTCAAGCTGCAGGGTCGCAAATCTGCTTGCACAACATGTGCGGGCAGCAGCGAAATTCTCCGATGGCTGACCCCATTTTTGGGTCCAAATATGGACCCCAAAATGGGGTCCAGAATTGGATCACATTTTCATTCCTTCTTTTAGGTCTTTGCTTGGGCCCCGTTTTGGGATCCAGATTTGGACCCAAAAGTGGGGTCAGCCATCGGAGAATTTTGCTGCTGCCCGCAGAGGTTTTGCAAGCAGATTTGCGACGCACTAGCATGAGCGTAAGTGTTAATACATGCTTTTTCTCTCTGTGCGTCCCACTTTGTTTCTTGTACAGTCGAGGTCCCTTTCTGGCCGCCATGTTTCTACTGGTTTTTTGGATCCTGTTTTGGGGGCCATGATGAAGCAGGTTTGTTGGCATTCGAGGCGCTCCAAGGCTTACCGAGGCCTGCCCGAGGCACGCATGGCAGGAGCTACTGTGGAAGAAACCGCCTTTGAGGACGTCAACATGTGGCAGGCACCGGTTTCGCAGAAACCACCCCTTATGGGAACCTAGAATGTGGCAGGGCCAAGTCTGGGAGGCGAAACCTGATGGGGAGTCAACGCGTGGCAAGGCCAAGTTTGGAAAGAGGCATGGAAGCCCGCAACACGAAGGCGTCAATGAGGGAAGGGGAGGAAACGGCAGAAAACCCCCTCCCCCCCATACAATGTGCCACACACCCCATTGGGCATCCGCAGGGCGGGTTGCTTTCTTACTTTGTATTTCTCAAACGCCGGAAATGCATCCGCGGCGATTTTTTTGTGGTTTTTGCCATCCGCAGTGGTCCTTCGCAAGGGTTCTCCCGCATCCGCAGGGGCATCCGCAGGCATCCGCGCGTGCATTGGCAGATATGTGAATCAAAATGGCTGGTTTTCTGGACCTTGCCTTGCGACGTTGCTGCCTAGGTTGATAGAAATCGCAAGGGCTTGTAACCATTCATCCTGATTTAAATTTTCCTCCTTGCAATACCCTCTCGAAAATTATAAGCTTCGAAACATGGTGCGTTTTAGGGCCATCCTTTGTTTGGGGGTACCTATCCAGTGTCAACGTCTGCAATTGTATAGACGACCTTGGTGTCAGCGCTTCTATAGAGATTTCATGGCTCCGCTACCATGTGACAACACGAGCGCGGCGTGGCAGCTCTTTTTCACAACTCGGACTTGAGCCAAACCACACAGGTTGGACAGCTCAGTCACTCTTCTTCTTAGAAGAGTCGTGCAGAGTAAAACGCAGTGACACTCAAACGTTCTCAAACTTCTCAAACTACTTCAAAAGAGTTCTCAAGCTTTAAAAACGTTCTTCCAGCTTCTCCAAATAAAACGTCTTCAGCTCAAACTCACAAATACCCTACAAAACTCCTACCCAATACAGTCACAACATCAAGTTCCTAGGACATGGGTCAAACAACATCCAAAAACACCACAAACCACAAAAACAAACGAAAATCCATCTCCAAGCTCTTCCATGCACAAACTGGGTCCATTTGGTTCCAAATTGGTTCCTACCTGGTTCCTATAGGT